AAAATGAGATACAAATAGAATAACAAATTATTAAAACAGCAACACATACTATAATAGAATACAAAAATATTAAAACAGCAACACAACATCATTCTCAAATTTAAAAGCCAGTCTGAAGAGCTGTGTTTTGGTCAGTGTTTTGAAAGTGGGTGGGTCGGTGCAGTCTCTTACCTCATTCACACCAACGCAACTCCGGTTCAAGCTCTGTGCTAGAGCTTTTCAGGTTCAGAACCGGTTCTTCGGTTTAGCTCCGGCTCTTTTCACACAGCCCAAGTCTGATTGGTGCTGCGTCATTGCGTCATCGTTTGCGTAATGACGTAACCGTTTGCGTGCCTGCTTCATAAAGCCAAACCGCGGGGAAACCCCTCACAGCTGACACCGACAACAACAACAATGGCCGATTGTGCTCCAGCTTCCTCTGTACCTCTTCGGAAAACCAGATTGCCAGTAGGTAGCTGGTCTTTTCAGTGGACCACTGCTGCTTGTTAAGTTTCTCCATCGTTGTGTACAAACTGGATAAAACGCCGGCTTTTTGACAGTAAACAGGTATGAAATACTATATGACAGTAAAATAAAGTTGTTATTAATCAACACGAATACAGTGATTTGTAAAATATCCATAAAGAAAAAATAAATCTGCTTACAGTTCTGTTTCATATGGGTGTTGAGAGATGTATCCATAGATCTCTTAATGTTACTCTCAAAGTGCACCAGATTAATACTTTTAACTTCAACATTTAAACAAAATCTTCCCGGGGGAGCATGCCCCCCGGACCCCCCTAGAGGAGGTTAGGTCCCCCACCACTTAAATCATGTTCACATTAAAGTCAAGCTTCAGTTTAAGATTCACCTGTAATAGAAACATGTGATGGAGCATTACTAACCTGATTCAGATGGTTTGTTTCACCAAACCATCTAGGAAAGCTCCATTGGAAGCCATTTGGAAAGGGCAGGCACTTTCAAAAATACTTGGCAGGTGATTGGATCAATCTGTCTATCTCCTATCATGGGCCACTTCTGATTGGTTAACAATGGCTGGTACATGTGGAGCACAGCACTTCTGATTGGTATGGATGACTGACACACAAGAACAAAAAAAATATATATATGTAAAAAAAAAAAAGGGAGTGAGTTATGGCAGTGATGGTTTTTGTGGAGATGTAGAGTTGGATGTCATCCGCGTAGCAGTGATACTGAAGGATATGTCGGCGGATGATTTTTTTTTTTCCAAGGGGGAGCTTATAGAGGATGAAGAGGAGGGGACCAAGCACCGAACCCTGGGGGACGCCTTGGGACAGAGGGGCAGTGGAGGAAGTGCAGTTATTTATGTGGATAAACTGATGTCTGTCGGTGAGGTAGGATTTCAGCCAGGAGAGTGCAGTGTCGGTGATGTTGAGTGATGATTCCAGACGGGACAGCAGGATGGTGTGGTTGATGGTGTCGTACGCTGCTGTGAGGTCGAGGAGGATGAGGATGCTGAGATTGCCGGAGTCTGAGGAGAGGAGGAGGTCGTTAGTGATTCTGAGGAGGGCTGTTTCTGTGCTNTTTGTGCGGAATCCTGATTGAAAGGGTTCAAACAGGTTGTTGGAGCTGGGATTTTAGTTGGGAGGCTACAACACGTTTGAGTAGTTTTGATAGGAAGGGGAGATTCGAGATGGGCCGGAAGTTGGACATGATGTCAGGTGTGAGTCCAGGTCAATCAATCAATCAATCAATGTTTATTTATATAGCCCAATATCACAAATGTTACATTTGTCTCAGTGGACTTCACAGTTTGTACAGAATATCAGTATGACAATAGGTATTTTCAGTATGGGTGTAACAGCAGCCAGTTTGAGTGAGGGGGGGAGTGATCCAGAGCAGGGGGAGGAGTTAATGATTGTGGTTATGAGTTAGGAGATGGCAGGGAGGCATTCCCTGACAAATGTTTTTGGTATGGGGTCCAGAGTGCAGGTGGAGTTCATTCCAGCCATGAGGGTGGACAGTTGCATTGGGGTCACAGGGGAGAACCGGGATAGGGGCTGTGAGGTGAAGGGGGGGGGAGCCAGGAGGGGAGATGGCTGCTGAGGAGGTCAGGTTTCTATAAATGCTGTCGATTTTGGATTGAAAGAATGAGAGGAAAGAATTGCACTGTGCGGTTGTGAAGGATGGGGTGGCGTTGTCACAGGGTTTAAAGAGTGTGCTGATGTTGGAGAACAGAGCCTTGCGGTTGCTGGAGCCGGAGTGTATCAGTTGTGAGTAGCAGTTGGACCGGGCTGCTTTGAGCGCATTATAGTACTGTTGTAGGTAGTCAGTTTTTAGTTTGATAGTTGTTTTTACTTTACACTACACTGTACAACACTTAATTCTGCTTCACTCTTTCGCTAAAGATTTTGAAGACATCCGCGTTCTCGTGACTCGTAAATACTACGCTGATGTGTTCACACTGCTCCAGAGTTCACTAGCAAGCAGTCCGAGACCACCTGTTTAGGTTGTTTAGTTCACTTCAGAGGTCTGAAACCACCTGTTTTAAGCGGACCAGAGTCCGGTTGTTTAGTTCACTTCAGAGGTCTCTGACTGCATTCACACCAACCAAACGAACCGCACCAAGCGGCTAAACGCACCAGGGTTCGATTCAACCGGACAAAACAAGGCTGGTGTGAATGCGACCTAATTTCATTATTGGTATTTTCCTTTTTTTTTTTCTTTTGTTACAGCTGTCTTGAGGATTCAAGCCTTACAAAGATATAAATGATCCAGAAACCCATTGACTTGTATACCTATCCTCATTAAAGTAACACATAACTTGTTCTCTGATGTTCAGGCAGTTGGTTTGGGTCGTCTGAAGCCCAACACTCTGGTAATGGGTTTCAAAAACAACTGGAGTGATGGAGACATGAGAGAAGTGGAGATTTACATCAACACCATACAGTAAGGACTGAAGTGTCTTCTAAAAAGAGCTACTAACATTTATCGGAGGTACTTTATTTGCCCAAAACACAGTTAAAGTTTGAGATTGTGCCATTTTTGGGGTTGGTGTCTGGAGACTTTTGAATACTGCCAGAGGATGTTCAGCCTGAGAAGCGCCACTGGGGGCAAGATAACCAGATGTATATACTGTATCCGTGTAAACATATATTTTATTTCTCCTCACCACCATCACACTGGTTCATTTGTGTCCTCTGTCGTAGATATTTAGTTTTTTGCGCTGCTGGGACGCAAAGGGAGGCGCTAGTTAGCAAATTAGCGTGTCATTTGTGATCCGATAAACAGCAAATTCCTCAAATGTAGTGATAGTATACTAGCAAATAGGCTTCAAGTTCACAGGTCACCAAAACAAGGAAATGTTTGATGAGTTGACTGAATTACAAAATATTTTTTTTATCTTGGTAAAATGCATTGATTTATCAAACAGTTTCCCTTGAAAGACAGTAAAGTTGTTTTATGTGTTCTATGATGCAGCGATGCCTTTGACCTGCAGTTCGGAGTGGCGATCCTTCGGCTACAGGACGGACTGGATATCTCTCACATCCCGGGACAAGGTACATCCTATCTTTTTCATTTGGGGTCATTTTAGTGGTATCACTGTTCATGTTTTATTGTTTGATGTTTCTGTGATCTAACTCTCTGATTGTCTTTTTTAGAACTTTATTGTAACTCAGTGTTGGTTTAATGTATCTTATATTGGTCTGTAAAGCACTTTGGGCTGCATCTTGCATGAAAGGTGCTATATAAATACAGTTTATTATTATTATTATTATTATTATCCATCTGTATATATGTCTTAACTATCTATACTGCATGTCCTCTATCTCCCTGTTTGTCCCTGTAGATGAGCTGGTGTCGTCCCATGAGAAGCCACCTGTTGAAAGTAAGGAAATGGTGGTTACCGTCAGTCTCTCTAAAGACCCAGAATTTGACTGTCCTTCAAAAATCACCAGCAACCAGAGCAGCCCACTCATCATGATAGGTACCCCTGAACACTTATTTACTGTCTGGCTTTCACATCCTGTTTTTATTGATAATGGAACTTTTTATTCCGTCTATCTTTAGCTTCCATTTACCAGATTGGTCCATCACATTCTCTTTGAACAATCTCAGTTGGACAGACTTTCATCTAATCACTTCTGTCAAAGTATTTCTTTAACCTCACCTTTGTTGATGAATTTCCTGTGTTGTCACCTGCTACAGATTCCAAGTCTCCTCTGAGCCTGACCGACCAGCGTCTGCTGGAGAACAGCCAGCAATTTAAGAAGAAGCAGGGCAAAGGAACCATAGATGTCTGGTGGTTGTTTGATGATGGAGGTCAGTTTGTAATGTCTAATACAAGGAAGAAGGCTTACTATACATATACACAAACAGATTCCTCTAAACCAAGGGTGTCCAAACTTATTTTACAAAGGGCCACATACAGAAAAATATTCGAAGTGCTGGGCCACTCACTAGGGGTGAGGTATATTGCCTCATAAGTTAAGTTATAAGTCAGCAAAATCAATCAAATGGTAAATATAACATATAAAATAGGTAAATTATTCTTGATAATTGCATATGCTTTAAGAAAAAATAAACAGCCTACTTTACATCACAGCTCTCCAGAGGGTTTCATTTATTTTGTTAGCAGCTCATCCCTTAAAACAGAAGCCTCAGATTGAATAATAAGGAGAAATATGAAGGGGTGTATTTCAAGGTTGTTGTGTAAATAAGTTGTTGGGCTTTATTTTATCAACTTAGATTTGTTAGAACATAATTTTCCACTTTCATTGACTGAAAGTGGGCTTATTAACACATGAACACTACTGAGTAATATATGTTTACAGATGTATTGAAGAAGTACAATACAAGACAAGCTCAAGTTTCATTTATGGGCCGTACAACATTACACTTTTAGAATTTGCTGGGGGCCAATTCAAAATGGCTGGCGGGGCCACATTTGGCCCCCGGGCCGTAGTTTGGACACCCCTGCTCTAAACCAACTTTAAGCATATCTGACAGCATGTCAAGCTTTAAAGGTCCCATGACATGGCCATTTCTACTGATCATAATTCCATTGTTGAGGTCTACTAGAATAGATTTATATTGTGCAATGTTCCAAAATCACATAGGTTTCTCATACAGCATCTCTGTATAGTATGTGTATTCACTCTCTGTCCTAAACGGCTTGTTGGAGCTCCTGCCCCCCCTCCCTATGAGCCCACTGTGCTCTGATTGGTCAGCTCGCCCACTCTGTTCTGATGAGTCCACCACCGTTACAGCGGAACATCAGTGATTACGTGTTACAATGGCTCTTTTTGTGTCACATAGAGTCCAGTAGAGGGCGGAGCCTGTGTGAAATATAAGAGAAGGATTCCAACTACCCATTAACCTGTATTGAATGTGTTTGTGTTTCAGGTCTGACTCTGCTGATTCCCTTCCTGCTGACCAATAGGAACAAGTGGGGTGACTGCAGGATCCGCGTCTTCATCGGCGGGAAAATCAACCGCATCGACCACGACCGCAGAGCGTGAGTCATAGCAGCTTTATTTTTGTACACTTCATACTGTACACTCACTACATTCTGTATGAAGAAGATTGTGTTTGTGTGTCCCATCAGCATGGCCACGCTGCTCAGCAGGTTCAGGATCGACTTCTCTGACATCCATGTCCTCGGAGACATCAACACCAAGCCCAAAAAACACAGGTATGAACACTGTTCGGAGTTTGATGCATTATAATGTAAAGGGTCTAAGACTATATTTTTAGCACAAGGTCATCAAATGAAGATATTTAAAGGGCCGCAGGTAACTAGAGATGCTGGTTTACCACTTTTTACACTAAACAAAATGCTGTTCTAATTCTGTGCTGGTGATAGTTTGGTTCGGATGTACAGTAGATTAGATTGCAAGTTGAACCAACTGTAGGAGCAATGTTTTTTTTAAGAATCTGTTAGCTTGATGATAATAAAGTGACGTGTCTGTTGTGCAGTAAGCTGAGCTTTAAGGAGCTGATTGAGCCGTACAGGCTGAAGGAAGACGACATGGAGCAGGAAGCTGCAGAGAGGCAGAAGGCCCAGGAGCCCTGGAGGATCACTGACAACGAACTGGAGCTCTACAGGGCAAAGGTCCCTCCCCCCACACACTGCACACACATCCACTCTGACCAATCAATATCCTGCTGAAGTTCACTGTGAGTGACAGCTGTTTTAACGTCAACGTGATGATTTGTGACTTTCAGAGCAACCGCCAGATCCGACTGAATGAGCTGCTGAAGGAACACTCCAGCATGGCAAAGCTCATCGTCATGTAAGAGCTTCTTCATTATCAATGTTACACTTTAACTTCATGTTTGGTTTTACTCACTTATTACTATATAACTTGAGTTAAAGACGAACGTGGATCATATTGGTCACATGACACCAGTGGAGGAGGAAGTATTCAGATCCTTTACTGTTGTGAAAGTGCTAAAACCCCAATGTAAAAATACTCTGCCTAAGTCCTCCACTGAAAAAAGTAAACAAAACATATGTTAGTATAATCAGGGTTATGTAGTAACAGAATACAAATTATAATAATGTTCCCTGTGACATTATTACAATTGAAACACTATACTTATTATATCATTAGACTATTATTACTCATACATTAATTTTAAAGCAGGATTTGACAGTTGTACTGTAGTTGATGACGTTGAGCTTATAACTAATGATTATTTTCACTGTGATTTTCTCTGCTGTTTTATCTCTCCATTATTGGATATTGTTTTTAGTAAAAAATAGTCAAATAAGTAAGAAATGCTGTTGAAATTACCCACTTGGATAAACTGTTGGGTAGTTTAATATGTAGGCAATCCAAAAGAAAACTCAAATTTGTTCTTAAGTGAACGTTCTTCCCACCACTGAAGGATACATAGCTGGTTTGAAATAGTATTTGTACATTCAGGTTGCTAAAAACCAAGATAAATAATAATACTTTCTGTATTTACATTTTTTTACTTTCTCAGGAGCATGCCTCTGGCCAGGAAGGGCACGGTGTCGAGCGCCCTCTACATGTGCTGGCTGGAAACTCTGTCTAAAGAACTACCGCCTTTGCTGCTGGTCCGAGGAAACCACCAGAGTGTCCTCACATTTTACTCTTAGCGAACACACCGCACGCATGCACACACACACACACACACACACACACACACACACACACACACACACACACACACACACACACACACACACACACACACACACACATACAGGGTCCACACACTGACATGGTGTGTGTTACAGTTACACCGCCTACAGCTGCACAACGACAGAGATATTATGATGCTTAAAGTTTTGTGCCACACTTCTGAAACACTCCTGCTGTGAAAAAAAGTCTAATGTTTTTCCATTTGTCTTCAGTTCAGTACATGTCTGTCTCATTAACAAATGTACCAAATCATTATTTTTTATGTGCAACCCAATAACTGGCTGTATATTCTGTGGCTTCTGTACGGTGGCTGACAAGTGCAAAAGCGCAACAATAGCCAAAAACACCTACATTTGAAGAAACGCGCTGCAGTTTCAAACACGATGCAAATATAAAAACAGAAATGTGCCGCGTTTTCAAAACGAAAAGAAGTTCAAAACACAACAGAAACGGGGACGCTAAAAAGTGATGCACACAGCTGGGACCAGAGGGCTTGTTAATGTTAGGGATGGTACATTTGGCCAACTGTCAGTTGGCACAGTCTGTTTCATAATTGTAAGTGTTTTGTCAGCATATTTGAAATGATTAGGTTATCTACGTTAGCTAGCTAGCTTACAGCAGATCTGCATATATATTGGAAGGAATCATGTGATGAAATTGTCAAAATAAGCCAATAAACAACAACATTTTAGCAATTTTATAATCCCTGGACGTCAACCAGCGCCCCCGGTCCCAGCTTTGTGCCTCACTTTTTAGTGTCCTCATTTCATATTTTGTGCTTCTTGCAGCGTCTTGTATTTTTATTGTTTTATTTATGCAGCGCTTTTAGTAAACACTGCACATGTTTCGTCAAGTTGGTGAAGATATTTCTTCAAATTCACATTGATTTTGAGCGCATTACACCTTAAGGAAATGTTTTTAGGCGTTGTAGGGCTTTTGCACTTGTAGGCCACCGTACTTCTGTGAGTTTTTATTTAAACTGCCGTGCAAATTAACTTATTTTATTGGTTATTTATATTGATTAAGTCATGTTTCAGAATGTTTGCTGGTATTCAGGTGGCCTGTGTCTTGAAATTGTATTTTCACAGGGTTTCCAGTAGCAAGACACTGTATTTGAGTTAACATTATTTTGTACACTGTTTGATTAAAATATTTACTAAACCACATGTTTCTGTCACGTTTGTTTCAAGTCAGCATTTTGGGATTTGTTGTCGGTCATTTCAGCTCTTCTAGACTACAGGATGTTATAAAAGAAACTGTTATAAAATACATGTGAGATATTAAAGTGTTACTTTATGTAGGGTTGAAAAAGTATTTACTCAAGAGCTGTATTTTTTTGAGGTAATATTCTTTTTCTATTTTGTGCTTTTTTTAATTTAAAACATACTGACAAAATAATTACAATTATGAAATAGACTAACACTGCCAACAGAGACGGTTGGCAAACTTTTTTATCCCAGAAAGCCAACCAGTGCTCCTGTCCCAGCTGTGTGCATACATTTTTAGTGTCCCTGTTTCCGTATTGAACTTCTTGCAGCGTTTTGTGTTTGCAGCACTTTTAGTCAACACTGTGCATGTTTCGTCAAGTTGGTGAAGGTTTTCTAAATGCTGCGTATAGTTGTCAAATTAATGTACTCAAATACATTTGCATGTGTTTTGCAACAACTGGTAACTACTTAGCACATAAAACAATTAAAATGAGATCCAGATTTACCAGTCACAACATTATAGATAAGATGCGTCACTTCCAGGCGAAAATTACGGCCCCGCCCACTTTTGGGGGAAAACAATGCTGTCATTTGAATGGCGGTCAATACAAATTCTGAAGTTTTTGCCAATCCGATAAGAAATGTAAGAAAACCGTGGATTTTTGGATCTTTAAAGAGCCCGATTACGATGGTCAGTCAGGCAAACAATTGCAATAAATCATTTAAAATCGACAATCGGGCTCGATATATGGTTAAATATAGCAGTAGGCGATCGATGTCCATAGATGAGAGTAACATCTACTTCACTTCCGGGCGAAAATTACGGCCCCGCCCACTTTTGGGGGAAACAACACTTTCATTTGAATGGCGATCAAGCCTGAAGCCACAGAGCTCTTCTTTTACTGTCAGAGGAAGTACAGAAAAACTTAACTCTGGTGCAATAAACGACACAGCAGCTTTTTGGCATGATAAAACAATTATTTTCCGCCTCGCTCATGAGAGTAACAGCTGGCAAAATTATAGCCTCGCCTACTGATTTTAATTTAACCATATATTGAGCCCTATTGTCGATTTCAAAGGATTTAATGTAATTTTTTGCCTGACTGTCCATCGTTGAAGATCCAAAAATCCACGGTTTTCAAACATTTCGGAACGGATTGGCAAAAACTTCAGAATTTGTATTGACCGCCATTCAAATGACAGCCTTGTTTTCCCCAAAAAGTGGGCGGGGCCGTTATATTTGCCCGGAAGTGACGTAGGTGTTACTCTCATCGATAGAGAGGCAAAGTCCTGCCCATCTACTTCCGACCCATGGGACCTTATTTCGGAAAAATATGTATTAAAGTCAATGGGGAGAGAAAGATTATCTTTCGATCCCGTTTGAATTGTGCCAAAGTTACACATATGACAGGGCTATTCAATTAATAAGACTCCACCAATAAGACTATGAAAAATACGCAACTAGAAAGACTACAAATCCCCGAATCCCGTTCCTGCATGCTGGCTCTTACGGAACCGACAAACTCCCCTTTTGTGCATGTACAGCAGTCAGTGGCGAGCAGTGACTTTTATACCTAGGCCCTCTGACCCCCACCCCTTCCCTCGAGTTATTACGTCACAGCGTATACTTCAGCGGAATATCAAAACAACGGCCCGGGGTGCAAAACGCATCAATGAAAGCGACCCTCTACCACACAAAACAACACCTGTAAATAACCCTATTTGTGTTCTTTGAAATGGAAAAGGATATTGCATTGTGTTCGTTAATTTCTTTGCAGTTGTATGTCTTAAGTGCAATTTGGCATTCTTTTATTTTGAAGGCGAGTTAACGCTGTTGACAGGAAGTTGTTGTTGCTATGGAAACAAGAAAAGTTTCACAGCGGGCGGAACTTGTCATAAAGTCCGCGATAATAACACCCACCCAGCGCCATATAGATAGAAGAGTTACTACAGCGGAAGTCCAAAAACGGTTATCGTCACGTGGTTCATGCAGACGAGGATTGTTCCCCGGAAGTTCATGGCGGGCAATGTGAATGCATTGATAACAGGAGATAGAACTACGATTTTTGGTAATTATTAGTGAATAAAGGTTTTGATTTGCAATATTTATACAACAAATCGATATGTGAC